TTTTTTTATGAATCTTTGCAAATTGCCTTTCCTAATAACGTGCAAGTTAGCAAGTTCCATGGCTAAATGCAGGCTAAAGTATACGGTCTCTCAGAGAACAGCTTGGAAGTGAGGGGCGGGGTCAGCAGAGCTCATTTGCATTTAAAGGAAAATGCTACAAAACGGCTTGCTCTGAAAAGAGCTGTTTTTGACAAGGTAAAAAGGGTGCTGTTTTACACTACCACTGAGAAATTTTAACCAAAGTATGTTATAGACTTTTCATTAAGAACCCTAAATAATCATATCAACTTGTGGAAAATGGGCATCCGATGACCCTTTTAAGAAATGGTAAGTGTATGTTATACGTACTTTACATTTCAACATCTATCCAAATGCACAAAGTACGTTGTACCTGTAAATGTTACGTGGGAATACCTAGCTAAAACACAGAGACAAGGATTGCTTTCTAAATACAAAATAAAATGTCTTTAATGCATAGCTTCTTCAACGTTTTTGCAGAGCAACCTGTGCATTACATTTTTGCTGAATATACAAGCATTCTTGCAGCTTTAAAATGAAAATATCCTTGAAAGTAAAGGTCTGTGTGTCATTTCCATTTTGCTGACAACAAATCTACAGAACTGAACCCTTTTAATTGTTCGCTGAATTGAGGATTGTGTCACATGACTAATCTTGCATCACTTGTTTTGAATACATCTGTTTTCACAGTTTTAAGCCAAAAAGACGTTTAAATCCATTACATTATATACAACAACTATACTTTTTCATTGAACATCTCTTATCGCACTACATAATACATACGTGTTTCTTGTTCAGAGATCTTCACATCCTCTGTCAAATCTGCACAGAGAAATTATATTATAAGAGAATGAACAGATGAACATGTCAGCAACACTGAGAAGAATTCCTAGCCTACATATTTTAAGATATGTATGAATTGGTCGCGAAACAGCATTGGAATCTTTATGTACTTCTAATAATCACGTCATCATCTGCATGACTTTTTATTATTGAACAGTAACAATTATACTAATGTTGTATGTGTGGACATGTTAAATCCATCATTTATGAGAATTAACAATAAACAATATTTTCACAGCATGTGTTTGTTAATGTAAGTTAGTAAGACAATATTTACACTAAACTATCAATACTTTGTTGACCAATTACCAAGCAACGCTTAATTTTGTTCAGTCTGTGGTGTAAAAAGGTCGCATTAGCAATTAAAGAAAAACACTTAAGCAAAACATGGTCAGGTCAAAGCGTCTGAATAATTTTTGGTCCCTAATTTGTTTGCAATTTTAATGGTAGTCCACTTTATGAAGAATTCTTGGGTATAATATGTCACAGTTTATTTTTCTATCCTCACTTAAATAAATGAACTATTGTCCTGCACCCACTAGTTAAAAAAAAAAAAAATAAATCAAAAGTTATATCTGGTGTCTGAATAATTTTTGGCTTGACTGTGTATGTGTGTATATATATATATATAGAGAGAGAGAGAGAGAGAGAGCATTAAGAAGGTTCAGGCGTGCAAACAACAAAATCTCACCCTTTAGCTCTTTTAGTTCATTTCCAGGAGAGTTTCCATCTAAACCTGTTTTAACAACATTCACAGATGAATTAGACAATGAACCCTTATTAGACATGATGGTCACATTAAAACTAGTTTTTGTACAAAATCTGTCAGCTGTTAAATCTCATAGTCACTCAATTTGAACTCTTGTCAACAATGTTTGGCCACTGACATTAAGACATGTCAGGTTTAAGTGAGTGCAAATGAGATTTGAGGACTTCAGCTGATGGGATACTTTCAGTGAATAATGATCTACATCTAGGTCTGTTCCTCACACAAATCTATAATTTGACTTCTGACAACTTGGATAAGTGTTACCCATGATTGCAACTGAATGAACAGTTGAACAATGAACATAAGACCCTTCTTATATTAAAAATATTACATTAAAAGACAACTACTCACCATGTGTCCGACTCTGAACTTCATCATCTTCAGCTCTGATTGCAATGCTCTTCCTGCCCTGTCTGTCTCTCAATATATTATCAGCACCAAACGCTTTACTTATGGCAGTCTCTTCAACAACAATGAACCGTTCCCTTTCACCTTCTCTGATCTCTGATCTCGGTGTCTCTTTTTGTGTGACATCAGCAACTACAAACAGAAAAAATACAAAGACAAAGCAGACATTACATCAAATGTGTTTGCATGTGAACATCAGAGTTTTGAAATTACTACACAAAAAATACTCATTTTTATCAGATTTGATCTAACACACAAACTTCATAATGTCTCCGTTTGGGTTTGCTGCGTCAAAAACAAAATGTATTTTGGGTGATGTGTACTTTTGAATGAGATGTGTGCGACTTCCTGAAGTGGATTCGGAATGAGATTTTCAGCAATTAATGGCTTAAAGTTTCACACAAAACTACTGTAAACTGTCAGAGAGGACGTAGAATGTAAAACAGTGTTGTTTGGATTACTCTGATACTGCTTTCTGCCATTTTTAGAATAGAGTATTGTTATATGTATTATACATTTCAGCATCTATCCAAATGCACAAGTAGTATATTTTTATTACATTTTATAACTACTTAAAACAATGAGACCAGGCCAATTGAAGCAGATAGAGATCAGACTTTATGGCGTAACTCAAAGGTTTGTCTATGTGAGACGACACTATCAATGACCCACACAGTTTTTCTTGCAGGTCTTTTTTTGCTGTTGTTTGCAGTCACACATGAAAGGGTCTGGAGAAATGTAATACATTACGTAAAGAAAAGTATACATTTTCTTTAAAATCAGAATAAAAGTCTCAACTTTATCTAAAATGCAGTGAAGTAAAAGTCAACCATATTTATACTACAAATGTACAAAAACTGTACTGTACAGTAATGAAGCATTTGTACCATATTTCTACAAACTTATGGGTTTTAACAAAGCATTGATCCCCTTTTTCATTAAACATTTCTTGTTGCACAACAAAAAACATTTCACACATCCTGTACCAGTTTTTTGTTGAGATGTCTCTGTTTCATCTGTCAAGGCTGCACAAAGAAACAGAAATTAGATTTTAAGTGAGTGATCAGATGAGCATGTCAAAAACACATGATACTTTGTAATTATTCATGTGCTTCTAATAATCAGTTCATCATCAACATTACTTTTTAAAACCCTCATCTGTCCCTCCCGAACCTGTAAAAGTGTCCCTTAAGGGTCAAAATTACCCGAATGCCAAAAATGACACTTTATTTATTTATTTATTTATTTTGGTCCAGAAAGCTTATATTGATCCATATATATATATATTTGGTGATTTTTATTTTATTCACCTTAAATTCTGGATATTTTTATGACAATGAGCATATCTGTGTAAATTTTTTCACCAAAAAAAACAACAAAGAAAGACAATTTCTGCATTGTATGGTTAAAAAAAAATTGATACTGAATTTTAATCCAAACATATGCATATTCATACAGTTTCATAAATATGTAGATACATTTAAAAATATAAATATGATATAAACTCATTGGTCTCCACCCCATCACTCAAATGTAACTGTGTCATTTCCCAGCAGAAACATCATACATGTTATAATGTGTTTCTATGGGAGTGTGTGTACCATATGTGTGTTTGTGTGTGTGTGTGTGTGTGTGTGCGTGTGCATGTGGGTTTTTCCTGCATTGGGGACATTCTGCAGTCTCAGCCCTTCGTTTGGGTATGCATCTTTTCTGGATTGTGTCAGATTTTGTATAGGGGAAAAAAATCTAATAAATATATATTTTTTTTTTTTCGGACAATCCATTCATTCCTATGGCCGGATCAAAATGACCTGCGAGGGACACTTTTACTTTTTTTTTTTATCACACCCACATAAAATCCTTGAGTTGATTTAAAATTGTTTGTGTGTGTTCCATGCTCATGTGTGATAAAAAAAAAAAAAAAGTTTTTTCGTAAATTCCATGCTTTTCCAGTGGCATGTCAAAATGACCAGTGAGGGACACTTTTGTTACATTTTTTTATAACACCCACTCAAACTGCTCGAATTCACTTGAATTTAGTGTATTCCTGGTTCAAGTGTGACAAAAGTCACAAAGTCTCATACTATAACGATCAACGCTCGATTTTTAAAAAATCTTTAAAAATTCGTTATTTTGACCCGAGGGACGAATGAGGGTTTTAATTAATGATCTATAATATTTACTGTAATATTGTTTGTGAACACTACTTAAATCCATCACTAACATAAAATGTCAATAAACAATACTTTTCACAACAATTGATTGATTTATTTTTAACACCTGTGATATTTATATATTAAACTCTACTGTCGCATAATGAAGCACATTTTTCTCTTGTATCAACTGTAATACTTACTCATTTGCTTAACTTGTTCAGAAAACTTGACTTCATGCCACAGCAGCACATAGAAACAGAAATGAGGAGATTATAGGTGAGTTTCTTGTAAATTCAGCATTTTAAACAAAGAGATTCAGTCACGAGTAGATGAATGGCATTCAGCTTAGCAAAACAATTACACTTAATCACTGCACTAAATCAAACACAAGCAGAACTTGTGGTGAAAATTTTGAATATAAAAAAATAATGATTTTACATTTAAACTCTTAAAGCTAATTTTCTCTTGCTGCATCATTTTTAATACTTACACAGTTGTTCTGAGATATTCTGTTCATCTGTAGCAGCACATAGAAACCGAGAAACAAGGAGATTATGAGTGAATGAACAGATGAACATGACAGAAACACTGACACAATGAGTTATCAAATGCAGCTTTCTGTTTTATGTGAGTTCTGTGAGCTTCAATAACAGAAGAACAACCCATGATGCTCGACCCCAAATAACACAAACAGACATAATCAAACACAGATCTAAATTAAGTGGTTGTAAATTCAGCATTTTAGCAATCAGGAACAAGTAATACAGTATTATATCACATGTTGTACAATGAGTATATTAATGTCATGCAGCTCAATACTGGATAATCACACTTAAATCAAACACAAGTTGAACTTGTGGTGCAAATTATAAATATTAACTATGAAAAATCATATTACACATTTAAAATAGCACAATAAAGCTCACTTTTCTCTCATATCAGCTGTAATACTTACACAGTTGATTTAGTCGTTCTTTGAGCTTCGCTGCATGGCACAGCAGCACATAGAAACAGAAATGAAACAGATTATAAGTGAATGAACAGATGAACATGACAGAAACACTGAGAAAATTCTGTGATTATTTATGTGTGTCTGCATGACTTTATATTAATGCTCAGTAACAATTACAGTAATGTTGTGTTGTGTGTGAAAGCATCATTAATGTGAATAAACAACACTTTCCACTGCATTTATTGCTCAATGTTAATTTGTTTTAAAATTAGTTCAGTAATAAAGACTAATTACTGACTATGAAAAATCGTTATACATTTAAACTCAATGTAGCACAATAAAACTACTTTCTCTCTTGATGTATCTGCTGTGAAACTTACGTAATGCTTTTTTATAGTCCTCCGCTTCATGTCACAGCAGCACATAGAAAGAGTAATGAGGAGATTTTAAATAAGTGATCAGATGCAAACAGTAACAATTCTAGTAATATTGTATTTGTGAACATTAGTTAAAATGATCCTTAATGGGAATTAAAAACATTTTCACAGCCTTTACTTGTCAATGCAAATGAATATTATTTTTAGTTCAGTGTCGTGACACTGAATGACACACAATGTCACAAACAAATACAGCTGTGATTCACACAGACCAGATAAAACTCGAGATAACAGAGCAAAGGACAGCAGGATTATGATTTTATGCCAAATGCTGCTAAATTTGAAGTTCTGTGAGCTTCAATAGCAGAAGAACAATCCAACATGAACAAACACTACAGATGATTGACGCTCGACCCCTAATAACAAACAGACATAATCAAAGTGGGGGGAAAAAGTGACATGACATGTGGCCAAGTATGGTGACCCATACCTGGAATTAGTGCTCTGCATTTAACCCATCCAAAGTGCACACACACAGCAGTGAACACACACCCGGAGCAGTGGGCAGGCATTTATGCTGCGGCGCCCGGGGAGCAGTTGGGGGTTCGGTGCCTTGCTCAAGGGCACCTCAGTCATGGTATTGAAGGTGGGAGAGAGAGCGCTGTACATTCACTCCCCCCACCTACAGTCCCTGCTGGTACGAGACTCGAACCCACAACTTTTGGGTTACGAGTCCGACTCTCTAACCATTAGGCCATAACCATTCAACCATTAGCAATCATGATTGAATCACAATTAATATAATGTTATTTATTACATGTTGTATGTGATTCAGTCATGATGAGTATTTTAATGTCATACAGTTCAATACTGGACGATCACATTTAAGTCTCAAGTCTTTTTGTATCAGCTGTAATACTTACACATTTGATTTAGTTTTTCAGAGAGCTCCTCTTCATGTCACAGCAGCACATAGAAACAGAGAAATGAAGAGATTATAAGTGAATGAACAGATGAACATGACGGAAACTCTGAGAAGGTACTGTGTGATTCTTCATGTGCTTCTAATAATCACTTCATCATCTGCACAACTTTTTATCTATGATCTGTAACAATTACAGTAATGTTGTATGTGATTATGTGATTCAGTCATCAGTATATTAATGTCATGCAGCTCAGTACTTCAGTAATAATCACACTAAATCAAAGAAAAACAGCATTTCTGATGAAAATATAAATATTGACTATGAAAAATCTTATTATACACAAGATATACTCTGGCACAGTAAAGCTATTTTTGTTACTTTCACTGTATCAGCTCAGCTGTAATACTTACTTCTGTCATTTTCACTCATATCCGCTTCATCTGTAGCAGCACATAGAAACAGAGAAATGAGGAGATTATAAATGAATGATCAAATGTACATGACAGAAACACTGAGGTGATACTGTATGATTCTTCATGTGCTTTTTAATAATAATTTTTTCATCTGCATGACTTTTTATTAATTATACATAATTACAATAATACTGTGTGTGAAGACTAGTAAATTCATCACTTAACATGAATTATCAATAAACAATACTTTTCACAGCAATTAATTTATAATTTTTTTTAACGAGTTCAGGTTTGTCTCACATTTGTGACGTTTTTATATTAAACTACTGTTGAAGCAATTTTTTTTCCAATTAACCTATTTTTTTCTATTTGTATCAGCTGTAATACTTACTCATTTTCTTTAGTTTTTCAGAGATCTTGGCTGCATGTCACAGCAGCACATGGAAGTGAATGAACAGAAAATGTCAGAAACACTGAGAAGATATTGTGTGATTCTTCGTGTCCTTTTAATAATCACTTTATATTAATGACAATTACAAGAATATTGACAATTTTTTAAGGAATATTGCAGTGTCTATTATCAGCGATTTATCTTATCCCATATATGTTTATCCTATCTATTTATTTCAGAAGGCAAGGGGTCATGACATGAATTTTCCCATCTTTGCAAAATTATCAGTTTTTAATGGTTGGGTCCTTTAAGGCTTGTCAGTAAACGCCCACTCTTATGACTAATGTCATTGCATAGGAAACAGTTTTGACAACAGTATCCATATAAAACCATAATTTACAGACAAAGCATTATGAAATCAATTACTTAGAGTTTGTAATCCAGCTGCTGTCAGATACAATACAGCTGACAGCTTCAGCTTTCAACAAAAGTTGAGAACTCTCCATTATGCTGTCTCATTTACAAAACAATCTGCAGTCAAATGCTCAGAACAAACATATAATCCTCAGATGTGATCTGTTACGCTATTAAAAATAAACTAAATAAACTTTTTTTTTCTTAAATCTATGCCAAACTACTGTTCAAAATACCTGAGGAAAGTGTAATGGACTAAACACATTTTTGAACTATTCTTTCACAATAAAATTCTCTTGCTGCATCAGTTTCAATACTTACCCAGTTCTTTATCACTGGTCTTGGCTTCATGTCACATAGAAACAGAAATGAGGAGATTGTAAGCGAATGATCCGATGAACATGTCAGAAATCACTGAGTTGTTGACTCGAGAACAAATGCAACTGGTTCAGAATCATTTAATGCATAAGTGCAAATTTACATTTCATCCTCATCTCATCCTCAGCAGGCCCCCTTTGGTTGAAATTAGCTGCGTTTCCACTGTTGGGCCAAAAGCGGGCATGCTAGTGCGTGCCAGGGCCATGCAGTCGCGTTTCCACTGTCACTTAAGGGGCTTCATCGTGCCTCATCGGGGCTTCCTCGGGGCCAGTGGCCAGGGATTTTTCGGCCCACTGAATACCTTGGGCCAAAGCAGTCCAAGTGGGACTAGAGGTGTGGTCATGAACAAAGGTGCAGTTTATCTGAGTTAGAGACAGTTGGCACCACTGCTCATTTCCCATGTTTTCCCAAGCTATCAACTTGCATCAACAATTAAGGCATTTACAACCATTTTAATGGTAAAACTCACTTTTAGACACCAGCGAGTGTCTGAATTAACTTACGATTGCAACCCGATGAGAATTCTAATCACCTTATGAGGCAGCAATGTATTATACGATATTGGCAGCATATGCTAACAATCACTTTAATAAAAACACGTTATGCTTATGAAAATACCAGCTTGAAGAACTTAGACAAATCATATATGATTATAATCGTGTATTTTGTTTCATATTTGTTCTCTCTTCTCCATGTGTCTTTGTTTAGACTTCTGCATCCACATATGTCATACATTTTATATACTCAGTGTAAATCATAACTCCGGTTTTCGGTCTGTGAGCTGCCTCTGTTGCTTTGGCTGAAAGGATAACAGTAGAGTGAGATGGGAGCCAGCGCTTAAACCTCCTCAGATTACATACATTGTGGAAAATTAAGATACATTCTCATTCTTTCTAAAGAAATTTGACGGAAACATACAAGGGTTTATCAGTATTTTTTCTGTTGTGCTATATGTGCACGCATTTGGACTTAAAAGCCCTAATGGAGTTGTTTTGTGCATTCCTGTCATCACATTTAAACGGAACATCTGCAGCTGAACAAGTATGTGTGTTCTCTTTTTATGTGAAACAATGATAACTATCATTGTGATTTAGCATGCTGACACAAAATAATAAATTACAATTTTTATCGTAAATCATTGGTATATAAAATAGCGATGATGAAGTCTTAAGTCTTTATAAGGGCCAAACATCAATTTCTAGTTTGTTTTACGATATCGTTTTTATTAATTTTCCCTTTGCTGGTGAAGTGCTGGGGTTGTGAGATATTTGCTTCAGAGAGACGTGTTAAGGGTGGGTTTTACAGTAGGAAACAGGACAGCAGAAATGCGGCTTGATTTTGGGCTCGCAGCTTGAGGATGTGAGGTCATTGGCCCCGCCCGGCTCGTTGTTAGCCCTGGCACGCACTGGCCCGACAGTGGAAAAGTGGCTATTGTGTTTCTGGAATTTCCCTTTCCATTGGTGCTCGGCCATTTTGGTCGCCTATGGTTCAGTGTGATTTGCAAACTGATCTAACAGGTTAATTGAAAAGAATCAGCTCATTTGTGAATCGGGCTATTGTGTCTCAAAGCGGGTGATGATTTCTAAAATAAAAATACTCTGATAAAGAACAAATACTTGAAAATATACTTAAGCACAGTAACGAAATAAATGCCTGTCATATATCTACCACTGGTTGTATGTCAGTATCTACCACTTGTACTGTATGTGATTCAGCCATCAGTTTATTAATGACATGCAGTTCTATACTGGACAATTACACACGTCATTAATTATTGTGCTAAATCACAGACAATCAGAAACAAATCCCAACTATGAAATAAAAATCATATTATGCATTTAAACTCAGCTGTATACAATAAAGCTACATTTTCCTCCTGCGGCATCAGCTTTAATACTTACTCATTTTCTCTAGTTGTTTAGAGAGCTTTGCTTCATGTCACAGCAGCACATAGAAACAGAAATGAGGAGATTATAGAGGAGTTTCTTGTAAATTCAGCATTTTAAACAAAGAGATTCAGTCATGAGTATATGAATGTCATTCAGCTTATACTGCTGAACAATCACAAATTTAATCACTGCACTAAATCAAACACAAGCAGAGCATGTAGTGAAAATGATAAAAAACTGACTATAAAAATTATATTGCACGTTTAAAATCTACTGTAGCACAGTAAAGCTCACTTCCCTTTCAAGGGAACTTCGAACTGCGTCCTCTAGGGGTCGCTATGGGGAACGTCTCGTCGTGACCCGTGTCTGAAGCATACATTGAAAAAACACCAACACGTTGGCCGGCGAGAGCCCATGACGTCACTACCGGTGCGACTATAGTATAAATAGGCGCCAGGAGAACATGTCATTCTCTTCTTCGTCTTCATTGACTGTTTGCTTTGAAGCGTGCATTTCTGTGGTAAGAGCGATCTCTTTTCATTATGGCGAGCACTAGCAGAGCGTTTAGAGGGTGTGTGCATCCGTGTCGTCGCTATTTGACACCTGATGACACACACGATCTCTGCGTTGTGTGTTTGGGCGAGGAGCACGCACACGACGTCCTTGAGGGGGCGATTTGCGTGCATTGTGAGCGTTTTTCGATGAAAAAGCTCCGCTCTCGTTTGTCTCTTTTTTCGAGGAAAGAGGGGGAGCCATCTGCTCCCCATGGTTCAGGACCCGCCGCTGCTGAGGCACGGAGGAGAATGAGCTCATGGGGTTCGCAAGTGGACCTGACTGATGAGTTTAGGGAGGGGCTTTCCTTCTCGCGCTCGGTGGCTGCGGACGAGAGAGAGCCGCTGGAGGATGATGTTATCTCTTTGACATCATCTGATCCGGGGGCCAGTGCTCTGCTGGGTTTAGCCCAGGAAGAGCAGGAGATGTCTGAGGATGGCGAAGAGGCTGAGCCTTCCCAATCCTCCTGCCCTGCGTATGGTGAGCTGTTGGAAGTTATGGATCGCGCCACGGCGAGGCTAGACTTGCCGTGGAAGCGGGCCAAGAGAGTGGTGCAGCGGGGTCGTCTCGATGAGCGTTATCTTTCTGACCATAACCGTCCATCTCAGGTGAGCCTTCCATTCCTTCCTGATTTACATACTGAAATTGAGAAGGAATGGAAGAGGCCATTTTCTTCTCGCATCTATCGATTCCAGTATACGAGTTATGCCAACATCGAGGCGATGCGTGAAAACGGCTATGAGAGGATGCCCCCTGTAGAAGAGACGCTGGCTAGCTATCTCTCTTCGGGCGAGACATCCTCCCTTAATACCTTGCCATCCATGCCTCTTCAAGCTACATCTAAAATGAATGGCAAGGCATACGCAGCAGCAGGTCAGGCTGTTGCTTCACTGCACACGATGGCGGTGCTTCAAGCATATCAGGCTGATCTGCTGAAAGACCTGAATAAAGGCGAAGGCCTTTCCCCTGATCTGGAAGCTGAGCAAGCCGCACCACAGATCTTGCTCTCCGTGCTACTAAACAGGCCGACTCCGCAATGGGCAGGTCTATGGCAGCGATGGTGGTAACGGAGAGACATCTGTGGGTGAACCTGGCAGATATCGGGAAGAAAGAGAGGGGCTTTCTTCTCGATGCTCCGGTTTCACCTTCTGAACTTTTTGGTACCTCCGTTGAGACGGTGGTCGAGAAGTTCAGGGAGGCGAGGGCGCGCTCAGCAGCCTTTAAATCCTTAATTCCACAAGGTCCAGGTCTTAGCCCGAACAACATAGGGGTCATGGTCCGTCTCGGTTTGAGGATCAGAGACGGGCACAGAAGGCTAGTGTCGCGACTCACGCGCCTCCTCCGCCCGCGGGTAGGGGAAGGAGGAATCGCGGGTCAAAGGGAGGTAGGCAAGACCTAAGGGATGTGATCCAGACAAGGCTTCAGCGCTTTCGTCCAGATCAGAGTGAGACGTGAGTATCTACTCATTTCCTTCGGGGGTGTCACATCTGCCCTTTTCCTTCCCCTTCCCCGTCCTAATTTCCCTATAACCACCAGCACTCCACCTGACCGAGGTTAGGTGGGAATTGTCCTGCATTACAGTCTCCTATGCTGGACCTATGTTGTTTTTGTTTGGTTCTATGACTTCTAAGGGATGTGATTAATGATGGGACTAGAGGCTTCTCCGGAATCGCCTTTTGAGCGGGGTTCCGGCGCGGGAACCATGGTGGGTGAGTATGATCCATTTTATATATGTATGTCATGTGCTGGTGGTTATGTGTGTATAAACTTTCTGTGAGATTTCTTTGCAGCGTCTTCCGGGAACTGTGTGTTTCTGTCCTTTCTAAGGTAGGTCCTCTGTGAGCACCCCTTTGCTGGATTCAGAAACCAGGTGCTCGACTTGCAATGTTACCTCACTCGTCGATATTGTGTCCAGCCGGTATGATATCCCAGGTGCCGGCTTCATAATTCCTGGACCACGCGGCCAGGTCAGAGGCTTCTGTGGGAGCCTTCTTGATCATCAGGCCCCCGGTACGACACTACAAAAAGATTCCTGGATGTCCGGGCTCCAGGATATCCCCTCTTGCTGAGGCATTGCGCGGGAAGTATAGGTGGCATTTGCGAGAACCTTCTTGTGTAATGCTGTCTCAGGCAGTGCTCCCCTTGCCTTAGAGGGTCGTATTTGAGCTTGCCTCTCCCGTTTGGCCCAGTACTTCCGGGTATCTGGGATTAGATGCCTGGAAATTTAAATCCATGCTATGGTAAGTGCACACGCTAAGCTC